GGGATTCAGAGAGAGCATGAGAAAATAGTGAAAGTAACATATGAGTAGGAAGGAAAAAGTAAAGACAAGTTGCCTGTTTCATTGCCTAGTCTATGCACAGTGGAAAGGATTATAAACTAAAGTATCCCATAGTATTTAACATGAGCTTATCATTTGACATTTTCTGTAACTTCCTACCTTCTGCTAAGCCTGTTCTACATCTGACTTTATGTCTCCCAGGGTTCAGTCTCTTCATTTTCAGTGTTAATTCGCCTAGTTTATTCTTCCACACCACTCCTTTGCCAGTTTACCTCTTTTTCCATTATCCATCATGTTTTTCTGCAGATTCATTTCCCTATTTGAGATCAGATGATATTAAACATCTTTCATGCATATTGTTGCCAGTTTTATTGACCTACTGATACATCAGTTTGTCTTTTCCAGCAGGGGAGGCATTAATTCTTCTGATTCATTTCAGGTTTCAAGACCTGGCCTGAAATAGAAGCATTGCCTCCCAGACTGGACGTTTTTATAGAAGAAACATCTCAGGGAATAATAAAGAAAGAGTCCACTAAGTATAGTCATGGGGACATCAACTTTGGAGAAGCTGTGGAATTTGAGAGCAGGATAGAACAAGAGCAAGAAAAGAAACCTCTTAGGCAAATGGTAGCCTCACATGAGAAAACCATCAGTGGAGATAGAAACCATACAAGTCTTGAAATGGGGGAAAGCTTATTTACAAATACAATTCTTGGTACACAACAGAGCGTTCCTATAGAAAAGATACCCAATATGTATTACACTTTTGGGAAAGATTTTAAACAGAATTTTTATCTAAGAAGATGCTTCCAGATTTACCCAGGAGAAAAACCTTATATCTGTAGTGAATGTGGGAAAAGCTTCAACCAGAGTCTTTATCTGATTGAACACCAGAGAATTCATACTGGTGAGAAACCCTACAAGTGTAATGAGTGTGAGAAAACCTTCAGCCACAGGTCATCCCTTCTTTCTCATCAGAGAATTCATACTGGAGAGAAACCTTACAAATGTAATGAATGTGAGAAAGCATTTAGCAATAGTTCAACCCTCATCAAACATCTGAGAGTGCATACTGGAGAGAAACCCTATCGATGCAGGGAATGTGGTAAAGCCTTCAGCCAGTGTTCAACCCTCACTGTGCATCAGAGAATTCACACTGGAGAGAAACTCTATAAATGTGGTGAGTGTGAGAAGGCCTTCAATTGTAGAGCAAAACTTCATAGACATCAAAGAATCCACACAGGTGAGAAACCTTACAAATGTAACGAATGTGGGAAAGGTTACAGCCAGTTTACATCTCTAGCTGAACATCAGAAACTTCATACTGGAGAACAGCTGTGTAAATGCTTGGAATGTGGGAGAACCTTCACACGCGTTGCAACCCTTATTGAACATCAGCGAATTCATACTGGGCAAAAACCCTATCAATGTAATGAATGTAATAAAACCTTCAACCAGTATTCATCTTTTAATGAACATCGGAAAATTCATACTGGGGAAAAACTTTATACATGTGAAGAATGTGGGAAAGCCTTTGGTTGCAAATCCAACCTTTATAGGCATCAGAGAATTCATACTGGAGAGAAACCCTATCAGTGTAATCAGTGTGGAAAAGCTTTCAGCCAGTATTCATTCCTAACGGAACATGAGAGAATCCATACTGGAGAGAAACTCTATAAGTGTATGGAATGTGGGAAAGCCTATAGTTACAGATCAAACCTTTGTAGACACAAAAAAGTTCACAGTAAAGAAAAACTCTTTACATGGAAGGATTATGGGAAACCTTTGATCTACGACTCCTCCCTTACCCAGTATCAGAGATGTCTTAGAGGAGATAAGCCCTATGGGGTTTAGTTCATCTCACATAATCCAAGACTTCCCAGTGGAGAATAATCAGGAGAATTGTAAATAGGATACAAACGCCTAACAGATTTCAGTCTTTTTTTACTTGTGCAAGGAATATGCTAGTTACCACTAAGGAATGGTAAAATTGATCAATAAAAATATGAAGAACACTGGCTTATCAAGTTTTAAAAGAACCACAAATTCAAAGGTTTCTAAAAACCTACAATTTTTTTAATTCATATAAAAATGTAAGAGGCCTAACTTTTAAAAAAAATTATGAAAAATAGTTGAATGTAAGTTTTGTTTCTCTCATTAAGACCATATTCTCTTTATAAGAGTAAGTTTCAATATGTGACTTTTCTTTTAAAATCAGTCATTGAGTTATTCATAATGTAAGTGTAAGACCTGTTTTCTAAAATGGCAGGCCAACATAAGAAGCTTGCCTTTTCATAAAGAGCTGCTAAAGATAAAAAGAAATACTTTAAATTTAACTCTTCACGTGGAAATAATAAAGTTCTTTTTATGAGTTGCCCCATCAGCAAGTTATATATGTAAGTGTACACATACACAAATGCACGTGTGTGTGCATGTATATATACGCATATACACATGCAATTTTGGAG